TTACATTTCTGTCAAATTTTTTGGTGGAGGAGAAACCAATATTTTCCATGCAAGTTTAGTACAATCTTGAAAAGTATACTTATGAGCTATAGAGAGCGTTTAGGAGGATCTCATCTAGCTTAATGTGAAAAAAGTCAATAGCTTGGAAGCCATATAGACAATGGAGCAAGTTCATGCACCCAAAATAGATATAGGTAGAACATTTCAAATGAGCTCTAACTTCAGCAAGAAGCATAGAGATCAACTAGTTGTGCTTTTAAGAGAGTATTGTGACATGTTCGTCTAAACTATAGATTAGATGTCTAGAGTAAACATAAACGTCACCTGTCGTAGAATTTTTACCATATTTTTATTACTGGCTGGCCTCACTTGAATTTGCCAAAAATAAAGTGACATTGTGGTGTCAGTGTCACACCACAGTGTTAGTGTTGGCACTGTGGCCCCACTTGTGATGAGAAGCATCCCCTGGATTCTTTAGTAATGTTATAATGTCTCGGCCTCAAAGGGTTAGTGTTGCGACACCTAATTAAAATATTTAATACATTGGTTGACACCCTGAAACTGAACTAGCGTTGTGGCACCCCATGAAAAATATTAATGGTGACAATATAGAATGGATAGAGAATTTATGATTTAAAGGTTTAGTAGCTTGGTGCCATGTCTGGTGCCATGACACAAAAATGTTTATAAATAAGGAACGACCTAAACAATTTTCATAAGCCTAAATTTCTTCATGATCAAAATGCTGTGGCATTTTCTCCCATACTCGATATTTTTCTATCTTATTCTAGAGATGTCTCCCAAAAGAGGTCAAAGAATGTCATTGCCGCTGACAAACAATGAGGGATATGTTGTGACCCGACAATATGTTGACTCTCTTTGCTATAGAAATATTATACCTAAGCATTAATCTTATTTAGCCTAGGTCTGTTGTCATTGTCTCCATTGTGTGGAGGGGTGGGAGATTCTCACACAGGTTCCTAGCCTAGCGGTCATTACAGTCATCCATGAATTCATGGCAAACTCCATAGAGCCCACGAACACCAAGGAATTTATCGGGGTTATTTGGTGTCATATGATTAGGAGGTGATAAACTGTATATAAGGTTTGACCAAATACACCCTTACTCAATATTATGAATACTTGAATGAGAAACCAACTACAATGTAATCTTTTGTTACCTCACGCAAGGTGATACTACCAGCTAGCTAGGGCAGCCTGATGGGAAGCTTGTGAACTTTCTCAAAAGCAACCTCGATCAAGAGTTATGAACCTAGCATCTTTTCATTGTAGCCAGGTTGCTACAAAGCTCACACGTGAGTGAGGGTTGATGGAGTGTGTTGTGCTAAATTATGTCATCCAACATCATTTTATGATCAATGTACGTCATATTATCCATTGGTTCATAGCTCATATGAGCTGCAATAATACCACACATAACATCGGTCACCCATCCCCAATATATACCTTGCGTGTAGAATTCGGGGTGGAGACCAAACCTAAAGAGGAAAAATTGGGCCACATAAAACCCATTACAGTGGTCAGCAATTAGTCTTACTGAATGTCGAGTGGGGAATCTTTGGGTGCTCCCAGAGATACCACCTCTCCTCTTTAGCATCACTTTATCAACGAGCAACTCTAGTCCTTCAAATTGGAATGATGACAATCGACTGGAAGACCAATTTCCTCAGCCATCAATACACCCATATGAAGCATCAGTAGCACATCTTGTTTACCTGGATGACCCAATCGCTAGATCAAATTTTTAATGGTGCTCAAGCTAGGTGCACCTTACCTCCTCATTATGCCTACCTCTTATAATTAGGGCTAAGCATGGCACCCAACAATAATGATTAAGATAAAAATGATGACAAGTACACAGACATTGAGCTCTAGATGTTCATAACTCTCCCCAGAGAGGGAGAGAAAAGATAATGTTGTTTAGTTTCTTTATTTTTCTATTTTTTTAGATTAGAATATGAGTCCTAATGGTCATTATATTTCAGGAGTGCTAACTCCCTCCTTCAACCCCACCCCCACCCCCACCCGTCC